GATAGTTACCTACAGAGTCCTTCAGGAGGAATAAATTTGAGTCTATGCCGAGCATGAATTATTATAGTTCACTTCGTTTTCTTTTATGGTTTTACCTGTCACATGTTCTTCTACTTACCGCTTGTTCTTTTACCTATATATAGATGCATGTTTGTTAGGTTAGCTAAATTCTCAGCGATACTTCTTTACTTTTACCTGTAGTACTGACACCCTTTGCGGGAGCAGTAGACACGCCAGGTACACAAAATCATTTTATATTATACATTTATTGTCCCTTACACACTCTCTTGTACTATATTTTTATATATAGCATTCCTTTTTACCGCATTTTGTTGTTCTTCTTTACTGTGCTCCTTATGAAAATTGCGAGCCCATAGGGTAGGGAACAGTAGAACATATGTTAGGTAGGACACTACACCAGGCCACGAGACCCAACAACAACTAAATATGCAAATACAAAACATAAACCATAAACTTGAAGTCGCTACAGTACAGAGTTTGGAGCAAGCTTTGCGGGCAGCATGACGAGAAGCTCGGAATATGATGCAAGCGGGTGGAGAACGACGACCAGGACAAAACGTAAAACAGATCTACATCAACTAACCCTTCCTTAGTCTAAACAACAACCAATTTATACGACTTCGAGGTGATACGCCTAGTGCAACATAAATCCTCACATTATTTTAGGTTTTTGCAAAAATATTTTATGGGTGTTATGCACTATTTCCCATGCATGAAATAAGTAGAATTACAAACTTAACCACATTACATCGCCAAGTAAATGGTGCAAGGGATGCGCCTCCCCATGTAACAAGGCACACACTACACGACACTATTGGCATGTAGATGCAGTCCAGTACGGCCAGAGGCACATACTGATTAATGCAACAAAATTCAGCAACTCTAGCAAGAATAAGATTGGATTTCCATGGGCAATTACGAAGAGTCAAAATATATATATATATAGGCAACTTAGCCAAATAAACTATAAGTTTTTAGGCTTATTTAGTTCTTGGCCAAACTTCTTCAAATTGAATTATATTTTTTTTAATGTAATAAAGATTAGGATATTCACATCCATATTTTAGACCATTAGAATAAGAATAATATCACATCATCCTCATTACAAATAGGTTTAGTTCTATAAACATCTTAGATAAATTACTGAAGAAAAAAATTTGTTGATTGTTTCCATTTGATCTCTAGTTATGTACACAAAGTCCTTCGCTTCTCCATTCCAAGTTGTGTACACAATGTTCTTTTACTCTCATCCAAGTTCTATTCTAATCCTTCTTTCTTTTTGTAACCTCCACTATTTTGGAAAAACATTTATCTACTAATCGCGCACTTATTTGTGCCATAATAGTTGAGGGTGTAATCTCCTACTGTGAGGACACGGGTTCAAATCGCAGTTATTGCCCATCTGGATCACCGTTCCTATTAAAAAATTAAAAAATTGAAAAAAAAAACTATTTAGTAATCATCAACATCAATGGGATCAAAGAGATTTTTGATCATTTTTTTTTTATTATCTCTTTAAATTTTCAACAAATATCCTATAACTTCATTAGTTCTCCTCACTGGTATAGCACTGTCATTCAACAATTTTCCACCTAAAGCCATAACTTCTCACTTTAAAAAATAGAAAAATTTAGTTAATGTTTTTAAATTTATTGTAAAAAAACGTGAAAAAGAATTTTAGAAAAAATATTATTTGAATTGAAATCAAAATTCGCATTATTCTTATGCAAATTATCAAAATATTTAAAAAAAGCCAGATCAACCTTCACATAATCCTCGCAATGCATATCCTATAAAGAAACCCTTTTATAGCAAAATTCGTGTACCCACAAGCCCCTGCTTCAAAAACTAGGCAAGACTCATTGTCAGAACTCCACCAATTCAGCATTCGTGGCGCACACTTCTTTTTGTAGTAACTCAACTCATGTATCCCTTACATGACGCTTCTACATTTGTAAGCAAGTCCTGCTCCAACATGTTGTCCATATTTGTCTTCAATCTATCTCATCATTCTAGCCACCAATTAATGCTTTACTTAGTTGAAAAGCCTCACACAGCTTCTGCAATACCTCCCATAAGCCCCAACATTAGAGTATTTTATTGATCCAACAATTGATCCCAAATCTCATAAGTTTGTCATCGGTATTTATCATAATCACCCAAAAACCCCTTATATGCTCTTGCCACTGATTTTGTAACATCCTTAGTGCCTTCACACTTTCACCCTGTAGCTCCAACATGAAGCTCTCTTATAAGGAAACATATAATTAAATATATAGAATTTATTATTATAAGGAATTTATTATTATTAGGACTACATAAAGAAACCCTTTTAAATCAAAATTCATGTACCCACAAGCCCCTGCTTTAAAAGTTAGGCATGACTCATTCCCAAAACTCCGCCAATTCAACATTTGTGGCGCACACTTCTTCTTGCAGTATAACTCAACTCATGTATCCCTGACACAACACTTCTACATTTGTAAGCAAGTCTTGCTTCAACATGTTGTCCATATTTGTCTTCAACCTATCTCATCATTCTAGCCACCAATGGATGCTTTAATTAGTTGAAAAACCTCACACATCTTCTGCAACACCTCCAATAAGCCCCAACATTATAGTATTTTCTTGATCCAATAATTGCTCCCTAATCTCGTAAGTTCGTCATCAGTATTTATCATAGTCACCCAAAAGTTCCTTAGATACACTTGCAGCTGTTGGGGGCCACACAGCACACTCTCCTCAAGGTTTGAAATTACACAACTAGATATTGAGCCACTTTCAATTTATGAGCCGAGACATAAGCCTCTAGACAATTTGAGGAGTAACTTCAAAATTATACATTTAGACTAATGAAAAAATAGTGTCATATTAACATCAAAATAAGATTATAACACTACCCCAAGTTTCAATTCAACATAAAGACGCAAGTCACAAAGATTTAAATTTATCAGAACCGAAAAGCAAGCTTTTATTAGCACTAAATTTGGGCACATAAATGACACAAACGAGAAAGAAAAGACAAAAAAATCTCCAGCTAGAGCCAGAGCAGACAATGTTCGGGTGGTGGTGGCATCGGCAGTGTGGTACGGGTATGGGGGGAGGGTTGTCGGCTGCAAGGTAGGTTAGGGAGGAGTGTGGTTGCGGTAGGTTTGCTGGACAACAAAGGTGGCTGCAAAGGAGGGGTTGACGGGGGCTGGTGGGTAATCTGGAGGGCAGGGACAGCCCGGCTAACGGTTGTAATGGAGCGGCCTGATGTGGAGAAGGGTCTGGGGAGGTGTATAGCAGGTAGGAAGGCTGGGACAGCGGTTCGGCAGGTCAGGAAGCGACCTGGAAAGCAGGGCCAGTGGCAAGAGATGGGCGGCCAGGCTGGGGATGGAGAGGAGGTGGTCGGCGGCCTATAAGGATGGAGGGAACAAGTTGGGGAGGGAGTTAAGAGAAGACACAATACCACCTCGAAGCGAGATAAACCCGAAACACCGCCCATCCTAACAAGGGAGAAAAAACTCTAAAACAGAAATGTGAATATGGCAGCAAGCAAAAATTGAACCCAAAAACCAGAAAACAACATATTATAGACTCTCATTGGAGAAGAAAAGGAAAGAAATAGGAAAGAAAAATCCCAAACAAAAGAAAAGGGGAGCGGTAGGAATAATCCAGAAAATAGCAATTAAAGGCTTCCCATACAAAGAAGAATGCATAAGAAGATAGGAGGGGCAGTAGTCCCGCCCTGTATAAAATTCGTGAATAAATCCTGCCCGGTCCACTGGACCGGCAACTTCCTACAGGAATTATTGCCAGTTGGTTCAGCCGCTGGCACCCTTAGCACCCTGTGTCCGTGTGTGTGCGCGCGCGCGTGTCTAATAAATTATCTTCTCTCATCCCTCATGTCAACATCATCTAAATTTCCTCATAATCATCAATTCTAACCATCTTCCTCTTCAATCAATGGCCGCAAGCAACAACAGTGTGCGGTGAGAGTGTGAGCAACTGCATAATGTAGTAGTGTGCAGATGGGAGTTGAGGAGTGTGTTGTCCTAGGATCTATTTATTTAGGTTCACGTATAGGGAAAAAACGAATTAGAATTTATCATTTATATAAAATTTATAAATTAAAATTTAAAATTATATATACCCTAATTATTAACACTTGCACAGCTTACAATTTGCAAAGAGGAAAACCTTGACGCACGCCTTAGCATCTGAGGCATAACCTCATCAAGCCCCAGTGAGACAAAAGACTCCAGGTATTTTTTTCTAAATTGCACAAGCGCACCCCTTATTTTGCAACTTTAAACAATGCTTCTCGTTGTACTCAATACCTTGGCTTAATTTACGGGCTCATATTCATTGTTATGACAATATTAATGTACTCTCATTAAGATAATTATTTTATATGAAAACAATGTATTGTGCAGCCAAAAAAATGCAGGATGTTCCATCTAAGTTCCATTCACTTATGAAAAATGCCACTCGGGAACAATATATGCTTACGTGCAGATTAAAGATCTAAAACATAACAAGAGTTCAAATGATTCCATACATTCACGTAAGGAGCCACTGTATGAAAACCAATTTACAAAAGAAATTTTTATAATGGTCTCAATCAACATTCATTATATGCATTTTAACATTTAAATAAAAGCATGAGGAAACATTTAATATCACTCACTCCAATTAATCATGATAAAAGCAATGCAACCAATTATCTACTTTTTACATAAAACAAGAGTTGGAAATTTCATCATATTCCTTCCAGGTAATTCCTTTTAAATTCTCTCAGAGTCGTGGGATACCGAGACGTCATCAACTCCTACTCATAATTTCTTTCCTTGAAACATTAATATCAGAATTAAAACATTCACAACAAACCACATCCATATAAGATTGAAACAGCCACTGAAACAAAATCCACAAATATTAAGAAGCCAAAAATAAAAAACTAACATAAACTAACAGACAGTAGATGCAGTAGTTGCCTGTAAAGTATATGTCATGAACCACGAAAGGTAGAATATCTTGTTACTAAGACCCATCATCTGGAGGCCTTCTTTTATCTTTTGTTCCTGAAACAATAAAAAGAAGATAATTTTATCGACTACAACGGAAAAAAAAAATGCAGTGATGGACATCTCCATAAAAAACATCGTTGACATACCTTCTCAAAAACAGAATAGCTAATTAATCGTGAAATTGGGAAAAGGAAGCCCAAGAGGTACCTGCTCCACTCATAAAAAGTCAAGAGATTTGCTGCTCAGTGCAAAAGATGAAACAGAAACGAAGATACTTAACCATTAAGAACAAAAATATATCTGCATGAACATGAGGATCATAAATCATACTACTAAAACAAGAATAAATCTTCCATGCAGAATTATTCTACAACAAACCCAGAAGACGAACCTGAAGAACTAGGATACTCAAAATCAAAAGGTAGTAGCCTAATAAGTGGGAATAGTTATACTTACAGTACTCCCATTACAGCTTTCACAATGGATTCGAACTCATCATCAGTGTACTCTCGAGTAGGAAAAGGAACAATTCTAATATTTACTGGGATGAATTCACTCCAAGTTTGTCTTCCTCGAGATCTTACTGACTGAAATGATCCTTCTATTCGATCAATAAAGGAAGAATAATTTACATCTTGCTTTGCAGAAGAGATAATTAATGAGTCCATCACTTGTTGCAACTGCAAGACAACAAGAAGAAAAAACAGTTAGAAATACATAAATATGATTATTCAAGGCAAAAATTTTAACATCAATTAATTATACAAGTAAAAAACGAAGATGGAGGAAAAGACTAAGAAAAACACCACAAAGGATAATGCTAGGTTATCACCGACGACGCCTTTCGCCATGCCAAGCCCTATTGTTTAGTATAAATAGGCTTATTAGGTTTTAGGCTTGGGAATGTTTGTTATTGTCGTATGGAATCATAGGAGTTTGAGTTTGGGAGAGCTCGCTTACCTCTCAAATTGTAAGTGGTTATCTTTATAGCATCCGAGTACAATCATTGATTTTCTTTCGGTGAAATAAAAGCATATTATTCTGCCCTAATTCCTATCAAATTGGTATCAGAGTTGTCGCTTTTGGGGAACAAAGGAAGGGATAGCGGCATACAGTCACAATTCGTAACTGGGAAGCCAAGGTCGTGATCGTGGCATGGATGCCTTTGCGACATTAACCTAGTGATCCGTTCGTACTTAATTTAAAAATAGTAAAACAATTATCTTTTAAATCATTTGATGTAAATTCAAATAAAACATGAGCCAATTTTAAACAAATAAATTTTCGAATGAGCCAAAAATGAAAAAACACAAACCTCACTAAAACTCAGCTCAGTCACACAAATGATTAAAACAGGTCCACTAGCCAGTCGATAGGCCACAAGCCACAAACATTTTGAGATAATTTATGGGTGATATAACTCACCTTTAGAGTTAATGGTTGAACTTCAATTTGTTGGGCTCAATACTGATGTGGAGAGCAAGGTAAGGAATAGTTGGACCTTACATAAACAAGTAAAGAAGGAAATTAGAATACAAAGTATCGTGAGTAGGATAACAAGTCCAAAAAATTTATGATTTTCAAGGAAGATGACTTGGAGAGGATTAGTTTGAAGAATGAGAGATTTCCTATAAGTATATTTGAGAAACACAGGTTTAGAGTGATGATCCATTCAGAGTTATCAAGAAATTCAGCTGATAATATCTATAATGCAATTTTTTTTTTTTTTTTGAAAAACTTCAAATCTTGGAACTGATCCACAACAAATAAGTACTCAGAGCCAACAAGGTCCAAACTAATAGATAAAGTTATTCAAATATCCCGATGATAGTCAAATTAACAAAAAAATTTCAACCAGGGATGATACTATAATGAGAATGCATTAAATTTTAATGCAAACTATTTCAGACTGAATTCCAAGCAAAATTCAAAAATTTCAAGACAATTGCAAATCAAAAAATAATCATGTAAAATTTAACACTTCAAGTTACAAGCAATAATCCATTCATACTCCATATTAGCATTTTTAAAGATGACAAATTTAAGATCAAGCTAATCTCATAAAGGGCGGGTTATATATCAGGCATATCTATGATTACGCTTGAAGACACCACATAAAGGAACGCTTACGTATAGGGTCCCTTTAACCCAATGGGTGTTGTAAAATGGTACAATACAAAATTATGGTCATGGCCAAAGTTCGCAAAAATCTCCTAAGTTATAAATCATAAAGTGCACACATAATAGAGTATAGAGCTTTTTATTAGTAAAGAGCAATTTAAAATTTTCTCCTAAGAAAAATACTAGGCTCGGGTCTATAAGGTTCATTTGGTCAATACAACCCATGGACAGAAAAGAATGCTCCACGTTGAGTCAACTATCTCCTCTAGCTAAATAGACCATGTTCTACGAAAAATTTAAAAAACAAAATAACAAAATCTTCATTGAGTTCATCAGTATTTCCCCACCATTCAATCTAAATTGCAGGAGATAAATATTATCATTCCAAAACCAAAATTATTACAACGACATGCCAGAAATTTAACAACTAATGACTAAACTTAATCGAAAGTTCTCTTGCGGTCATGAAAGGAAACTAAGCATAGCAACTTATGTTTATGGGAAGCCTAAAAACAAAAACCAATTCCTTGAAAAATGAATTCAAAAAAAATAGGTAATATATTATCCAAAACTCTAATGTCTTGCGAATATTTAAATCAAAACATCTAACTCTCCTAGAAGAGTTGGGCATGAATTTTTTAATCCCACAAAATTAAAAAAAAAAACTAAAACATATTTTAATTAATAATCCATTTAGCCAATGTGGGAAATAAACACAACCATTGGACAAATAAACAAGGAAAGCATTGAACACAAGACATGATCTAAAGTTGAATCAAAATTATGTACAGCCGTAATCATAAGCCGTTAGAATTGCCACCATTAAGATAGAGATAGTTTTTATCAATTGAATGCTCTCAGCTCTCTTGGTTGCTGAAGAACAACATTTTCAAGTATTCCTAGAAGCATCGTGAGAAGTTCTAACTAAGAACTTTGCAACAAGAACAAAATAGAGAGCCTTCAAATTCAACCATCTTCCAATAGCCAAATATTGTTGAATCAATCAAAAATTCTTTCTGGAGAGCTTAATAGTGGCAGCATTCATTTAAAGCAGTCTACCAAAAATTTAACCAGGAAAATTCCTAGTAGATTGGTTGTGAATTGAGAGTCGAGGAAAGGCAATACAAATTAGAGTAATAAGAGGTCACTCAAAGCAAACGAACTGAGGAGACAACTTAAATATTTGCATAGAAAAATGAACCACGTTATATGATCTCCATGAAAAGACTAGCCAGCTTCTAAGAATAGCATGACATGAACATGAAAAGAATTAATAAGTCAAATTAAATAATCTCCAACCAATCTGAATTTAATCATGAATCTGCCAAAACACTTCGTACTAAATCAGGCCCAAGAAAACCTTTCAACTAGGGAAAAAAAAGAAAATGGAAACTCAAAGAACACTTCGTCCGAAAAAAAAAAAAAGTGTTGTGTTACTGAGATAAAAGAATGGCAGTACGTGATAAGTTGGTTCATGACTTCCTAAGAATATGCGGGATATCAAGGAGAGTATATAGAATCGGAACTCTTATCCCCCTAATAGCATAATTAAAAGGAGTAGCGCAAGTGCAGTGTGATTGTACAGAGTCCAAAATCTTAATTTCAAAGCTAGCCACAAGCGAAGTAACATATTACGAGATTACCTTAGGAGCACTCAACAAAATAGATGATATGGTCACTAAGGAATTATCCAAAGCAACTGCAAGTGAGAAATGACACAAAACAATATATTAAATAGAAATTAACAAGAGAAAAAGCAAACTGAAATAACAAGGGCAGCATCCTAAAGCACCAAGGCTAGAAATGACATGGACCTGAATTCAATTAACATGGGAACGCCCAGATGGACACAAATCGCGTCTCAGCATGGATGCAGGAGTCTATCTCGAACAAAGAGCGGTCCAAATGCGGACCAGTTCAAAAAAATTCACCTTTTGGGCGGAACGGCCGACCATAAAATTCTTTTTTGTTTGTTTTAATTAAGTTTAGAATTGTTTTGTGGATTTATTATATATTAATTTTTGCTTCGGGTCTCTCATAACAGCTTGTTTTGCTTTATTGTGTTATTCCAAGATTACTCTCAAATTTCTCACCTAAGAATGTTGTACCATTTCTTTTATCAAGTGGTGTGCCTGTAACTTGATTAGGGAATACATGGTGGATCCTTCTTAGAGTTTGTGTCACACTGAATGGTCACAAAGTGACATTTTCTTGCAATTCTAACCATGGACAACCGGCGACAATGACATTCTCATGCTGCTTTCAGTAGGGAGCAGTTGTTGAAGTCCATACTGCGCAGTGTCGACATCACGTTCTTGGTGTTTTAACCCACAAGACAGCAATTATCTTGCCACATCCTATTCTATCTCAAACTATGGATCTTTAAACACCTAATGCCCCACAGAAGAGTCTCCAAAGGGAAAGGGTGAATAGCTTGGCACCACAAGATATGAAAGACGAGATTGGGAGGTAAGCTAGCAAGAAATAGGAGCAATCAAAAGCACAATCGAACAAGCAAAACTAACTAAGAGAGCACAAAGATGAGCACAGATCAACAATCAACAGCGAGCCAGCAGCAAAAGTTGGGCAAGGGCTAAGGGCCAGCTACCAAATGTTGGCAAGACGATGTTCACAAGGGGGCGTCCAACAAGTAAGGAGAAAACTCAAGAGGACCAAGCTAGAATGAAATAATAATATTTTGATTAATAATTTAAATGGATATACTATAAAAAAATGTGAAGTTAACTATTTTGATCGTTACTCCCACTGCTTGCAGTAAACTAATATGAGGGGTTGTATCCACTAGTATCTTAGATTTGACTGCATGAGAGCGGCGAACAAGAAACAAAGAACGAGAGACAAAGGGAGAGCGAAAGAGAAAGTGAGAGAGTGAGAAAGCGACACGTGAGAGGGAGGAAGTCGAACCCTAATCGAGTGATTCGAGCGACTCAAGCCAAACAAGTGAGTCACATGCAAAGGAAAAAAAGAAGACAGTGCGCGCATCTCCAACAGCACGCAGGGCTTTTCCACTTGCAGAAGCGCTCAATTCTAAGAGTTTGCAAGAACTCACGCGGTGACGCTCAGTCGAGTGATAGATAGCATTGAACTTGAGGAGTGTCTCATCAAAGAGAAAAGAAGAAGAGAAAATAGCAAAGTTTTTCCTCTTGTGCAATTTTTTTTCTACATTTGAGAGGCTTGAACGAGCCTACGTGCTCTAAGCACAAGAAAGGCTTGACAAAAAAAGGCAAACAAGAGTTTAAGCTATGAGGTAAGAAATTAGACCTTTAAATTTTATTTATTTTTATTATTTCTTATTCCTTATGCTTGGCAAATTGATTCCTAGCATTTGGGAAAATATTTCAAAATCACTAAAACTTGAATTTTCAAAATTGCTAGGATATTTGTGGGAGACAATCAGAAAAGGAAGAAAAAGAAATTTCAAATATAACACTAAATTTTCAAGAACAAATTTATTAATTTGTAAGTGCAATTTTTTATTAGATAAAAATTAGATTAAACTTTAATAAGCTTAGGTTTATTCATGATTTTAAGCACCCTAAAAAAAATTTAGGAGCTTTAATAATAATTTGAAAGTTAAATTAAATTATCTATTACATATTATGAATTGTATTAATAAAGGAATAAAATAACTTCAATTTAGACATTATATATTACCAAAATACTTCGATGAAAGTTTTAAATAGAATAAAAATTAATTTTTGAATAAGCATTTATACATGCAATTATTATGGAAATTAAAATGCATATGAAAGTCTAAGAATTTAGGATAGAATTCAAATAAAAGAATGACAAAACGAATAGAGGTTAATTAAGTCTAATTCGTTTCTATACATGCACCAAATAAAGAGACTAATTAAAGAAAGGACAGCTAATTACATTAAACAGGTGAGTAGATATATTTTTATTTTACAATAATTATTTTTAATTATGAAATCAATTGCAACTATTTTCACTACTTTCAACATTTTCTTTCAAAAAAAAAAGCAAGTTTCACATTTTTCAAATGTTAAATAAAATAAATAAATATAATATGAAATATGCATATGTGGAGTCATCCCTAAATGATGATAGCTACGGATGCCATGTACCGAAACATGTAAAATAAAAATTGAAATGGAAATGAAAATATTTATCAATCTTTTTTGTGAGTTTGAGAAAAAAATTAAAAGTATACTTTTAAAATAAATTTAGACGGTGACTCTCATTGATAGAAAATTGGACGCAATGGAGAAAAAGAATTTATGTAGCCGACCCGACTTAGTGGGATAAAGGTTTTGCTATTGTTGTTGTTGTTGTTGTTGTTGTACTTTCATCGATAGAAATTATAATTGAAATAAATAAAATGAACTAGAAAATTTTTTTATTGTCTCATTTTTACTTATTATAATTTATTTTTTCAAAAATATTTTTAAAATGAGAATTATTGTAATTTAAGATATGTTCATTGTTGAATTGTTTAACTCATATCTTCAGCTACTAATGATTTCAGGAAAATCTACAATAAAATAAATGAATATTAGAGAATGTGTATAGACGTTGAGGAAGTCAAGGAGATAGGTACACCTTTTTGTTTTTGTGTTTTTTTTTTTTTTTTTTTTTTTTTTAACAAAACTAGGATAAAATGACTAACAATCAAAATACCAAAATTTGAAATAAAATATGCTAGTTACGATAAGAAAATTAAAAAAAAAATTACCGTCAAAAAGCCACTAAAACTGTATTGTAGACTTGGTACGATGTTAACACCCAATTCTAGGTCGTTAAGATATGGTCCGTTCACATCCATTATGGTTTTAACATCAGGGTATCCTGAAAATGCCCATGTATGGTTCAGCCTTATGCTATAATCAAACATCTGAGGGCCAAGCTCATGAAATATTATTGCTCCTTTGATTTTCGGATTTGATAAATTCCTGCAAAAACAGTGCGTTATCAATTTGTTGAAACAATACAGCCTGCTACAAGTTCCAAATTTACAACATTGAGACAGATAAGTGTTAGAGATACTAATTACAAGCAGACAGAGAAGCACCAAAATACATAAACATTTATTGTATCGAAGCCTTAATGTTTAATAATAATAAGATCACATCAAAAGATAAAGATTCGCTTACAATGATCATATGCATCTCAAAGGGATAGATGTAGAACTTTGAGATTGGACTCAAAACAATGATGCTTGGCAATTTATCACTCCGAAAAACATTAAGCAATCAGGCAATAAAATAGAGACAATGGGGATTCATGTAGTCCAGAGTAGCACGATTAAGTTATAAAATGGGATATATAAGTTGAAAAAATTATTTGCAGAACCGCATAAATAAAAGCAGCCATACAAAACAAAAACCAAAGCTTTAATTAGAATTATATGCTTCAGAGATCTATTATAAACTCAGCACTTGGGATTCAATTATGGTATTCTACTTTGTTTGTAATGTTAAATTAGATGTATCGCATGGTGTATCAAATACAAATTTTATAGACCATCCTATCTTAAGAAAGTATCACATAGAGATATAGACTACTTTTAAACATTTGATTTTCATGTCTTTAGAACAATGAAATTTGATAGTCCAAACTGACTAAACGGTGTTTGTCATAAATAGTTAAATGTGCACCATTTAAAAACGCATGTTTAACTTCCCGCTTAAATCTCGCTTACTTATAAATATAGATAAGACAACAACTAAGCATGTGTGCAATGGAATTTTATCATAAATAGTTTGAACAAAAGTATACTGGGACCAATATACAATTCAAGATAGAATGCTGTAAGAAAAGATCCACAAAAAGGGAATATTATCCCCCCCCCCAATATTTCCCCCCCCCCCCCCCCCCCCTCCGAATGAAGGAGTTTTATTCAAAATTATGGGAATGAAGATTATGATGTAGAAAAGATACTAACTACAGATTTCGCCTTTATTTTGCAATAAATTTAAAATCTGAAGTTCACAATTTCTTATGCGTGCAACCTATAATGGTCAATTATCCCTTCTGAAAATAGAAAAGCAGTTTTGATTCAGGCTAGACATTAAAACGTGGATTACTCAATAAATAGTAACAGTAACTCAAGTTTTGTATGGAGAGATTTATCAGTATAAGCTTAAAATGAAGAATGGAGAAAATAATGATGAACCCAATCAAAATCTCATGTTCCATCATCCTCAGTTTATCATGGATCCTGATCTACTTAGAAGAAACAGTCGCCCCAACCTAACCATCTAAGAGAACCAAATAAATCTAGTGACGCGGGAGCTTTCCGGAGGATTGCAGACTCTACACGTCGCAAAATCGATCCCACAAAAGAGAAATTCCACAGTATCGCAGAAAACCTGGCGATCACACGTGCCAAACAATGGTGCCCGCCCATTTTTTTTTTTTTTTTCAACCCTATTTATTTCCCCTTTTCTGATTTTCTTCATATTTCTTTATTTCAAATTAGGGTATCTTCTAATAGAAAACTATTTGCAAAATTTTTGTTGTTTTTTAGGACTTAGATTAGTTATATGTATTTTAGAGATTTTTTTTTCTCTGATTTTTGTTCTCTGGAGTATTTTAGTCTCTTCCATTTGCAAGTGGTGTGTCCATAGCTTACAAAGAAACATGTGGTAGATCTTCCTCCCGATTCATCATTCGACCATGGTTTTCATTTTGGACAGTTGTCCAATTGCTCAATCTTGCTATCTAACAGCAAATCTTAGTCATCAAACTGCTCAATTTAAATATTCAACAGCAGATATCGCTGCTCTCTTTCGTTTCTCATCCTACAAATACTTAAACCATTTCCTAATCTTTCAACTCAGACTAGCAGCCCTCTTTTTTCGTCGCTTGAATATATCTACGATAGAGTTGGTGTAGCTCCTGTGACAGAAAAAATGAAAGAAAGTCGTCTTTGGTCACATTAAACGTCAACAATCTGATGATCTGATTAGAAGAGTAGATATTTTAAATTCGACTTATGTTAAGAAAGGAAGAGGTAAACCTAGGAAGACTTGGCTTATTGTATAAAAAATTATCTTAATTTATTAGAACTAAATAAAAATATAACACTAAATAGGACGCAATGGACAAAAAGGATTCATGTAGCCAACCACACGTAGTGGGATTAAGGCTTTGTTGTTGTTGCCCTTCTTGCACCAAAACAAAAAAAATTCATACAACCGAAATTTAGCAAGCCTTTGGAAAGCCCAAAGGCTAATATATTAAAAAGAAATAAGGATACATAAAGATTGTATGGAAGGGCCCAAGCATGACATCATTCCCCCACAATAACCATCACATATAAAATGTTCTAAAAAAAGAGAAAATACAGAAAAATATAAGAGACCTAAATAAAAAAACAAAAAAATGTAAAAAAAACCGTAGTATCATGTAGCTAGAAAGCGACAATTTTTCTTTGTCTCTACCTCCAGTTCTAGGAAAAGAGCCAGATAATAAATTTGTAAGATGAGTGATATTGTCAGTAGTGACCAAAGTATCATCCAATAAGTTTTCAAGCTCGAGTCGGCCTCCAGTCTTCTTCTTCCTCTTGGAATAGACCTATCATTCTTCATCTGAAGATTGGCTCGCCTGATCAGTGAATTGGTCTAAAGTGTGTCGGACATGTGTAGGATGTTGAACATTAGAAAGTAACCGCTTGTTGTACTAACTGATCTTTGATTGAATCAAAAAAGCACTCTCGTTTGTCTTGACATGTAAGTGAGTCTCCTTCAATAATAGTGAGTGGTATAAACACTTTTGGATCCATACATGTACTATGATGTTCTTCATCAAAAACTGCAATGTTGGGTAAAGGATCGGTTTGCACCTTCTCAACAGGGATGGTAGGTGGTTGATCTTTACCGATATTCAAAACTTGTCCTGTGATAGCTTTCCAGATGGAACAGTTATATCCAAAGTAGTGGGATTAGATCCATCCTTATTCACTTGATCTTTAGATTTCAAATTAGGATGAAACTTATAACATGTATCAAGTGTATGCCCAAACATCTTACAATGAGAACAATAAGGCGGTCTATGCTCCATGACGATTTGTTGTCAATATCCATTATGAGTTGTGTCCAACCAAACTTCAATAATATTAGGTAAAGTAATATCTCTTTCCACAAGTATTCTGGCCACAGAATGTCTGGTTAGGTTGAAAGTCGGTAGATCTAGCTTCGGTAGATCTAGCTTCAGCTTCATAGGGTCCCCACGCATGGCCCCAATAGAGTAAAGAACCTGATGATGAAAAAAATGCAGCTTAAGACTTGGTAGACTAAACCATAACCGGTACAGTAGGAGTTTCATGATTAGGGTCAAAATCAAGAGACCACTTGAGAGCTTCATTGATTTACCAGCAATGCTGAGATATTTTTTTGGAGAAAATCCTAGTGTAGTCTTCAGTCACGGTTAATTGAATCAATACATGTCTCTCATCCATGAGCCCCACTTTTCACTTTCTTGTTAATTTGAGATCATCAAAATCTTTTCTGATAACTTCCATAAGTGGATGCCCCTACTGAAATTTTCCAATAAGAGCAAACTTGAATTTGTCAGTCAGGGTTGAAATTTCTAACTCCGAGAAAAAGCGTGTTGTTTTCCCACTTTTTCTGCTTGTATGCTTAATAAATGGACAGTCGCATGTACCATCACGATATTCTTTATAGCTTAAGGAGAAGACAACCGCCGTTTCCACCTGAGAATTACCCACCACGTGGGCAAAGGAGGTTTTGCCACGTTCAACTAAAGAAGAAGGAAACTTCATCACAGCTTAGAAGCTCTACCAAGTCGGTCAGAGGGCAGGTCAGGAACCGAAGAGACCAAAACTCGGTGCAGTCGATCTGTCGAGCTGAGCCGAGTAGGAAGATGAAAGGGGGAAACGAGGTGACCACTTCCCGTCCGTCTTCCGTGAGATGTAGTCGAACAGAACGACGAAACTGTCAGAGAGACGACGAGAGGCCGCAGTCAGCTTCGAACAGAGACGACGAGACGCGAGAGGAGAGACGACGACGCTGGAGAGGAGAGAAAACGACGACGGAGAGGACGATGCGTTGGCTTCGACACCAGAGAAAAGATCTTGCGGTAAGGGTTGCTAGGGTTCGACATGGGTCGAAACCCTAGCAGAGCCGAGCGTGGGAGAAGACATCTGAGTTGAGGCCGACTATATATATATATA